GAATGCAAATAGGGCTTCATGAAGTAAATACTGTATCAATTAAGTCCAGCCCTTGAAACAAAGAACCTCTTTCACCACAGTGCATCAATGGTAATATGAAGCAGGCTTGGATGAAAAGCAATTTTGGCACACCCAGCTTTCCCACTTTGTAAAGCACGGCCCCACTCACAAAGAAAAAGTTGTTTTTAACCGTTTATGGTGAGTGGGAGCCCCTTCACGACTTTGGCTGCCTACCATATACATCACGCTCAGCTTTCCAAGGATCTCGCACGATGACAACAGCTTTCCCTGATGCGACACAAGGATTAAGACTAGACAGGAGCAGAGATCATTATTTCTGTTGCCTTTCTCTCAGGAAGTGATGGTGCAGTTTTGTTGGAGCAGGTCAAACAACAGCCGGCTTGCACATGATCATCAGAGGCAGCACTGTTTGCATTGTCTTCATTATTGGGTCTCAATGGCCCTCAATCCAACTCAGTTAGATCAATGGGGCTCTCTTCTCTGATAGGGCCTCTGAGACGCCTATGGACACTGCAGTAAGTGGGAGTCACACACAGCCAAGAAAAAGCCATAATCTTTTATTTCAAACAAAATCTCAAATATTTACTTTAGCCCGAACAGGGGACAGATAAGCGCTGGTTCAATGCTGACATCTGAGCAGGAAGAATAAGACCCACGAGCCAAGTCCACTTCTCAACATTTCTTCCCAGCGTTCAGCCCCACAGGCTTTAGGTGGGGGAGTGAGTGCAGCTGTCTCTGCTGGTCTTTGATGTGATGTCAGAGGTCAGCTGTTCTTATCTGTTATTGCCGGCTTGGGAAACAGATAAGCCGGACATCTCCAGAGAGCTGCGCTCCATTGTCCCGTTCTGATGAGTTTAAATCCCTGCTCCTCTTTTTCCCACTAACCCCAACAGGCCAAACCTCACACCCTCCCCTGTCCTCTGGCACAGTACAGTATCGCCCCCTGGCACGGGCCCAGCCTGTCCTTCCTCTCCTTTCCCAGAGGCCTTCCGGAGGTACCGGAGAGCCGACTCGAAGGCATTTCTGGGAAACGCCGCTTCCCATCCGTACTGGCCTCCCCTGACATGCCATCCATCAGCCTCGATAATAATAATAAAATAATAATAATAATAA